TCAGAATGCTTGAACAATTATCTGAGATGAAATTTTCCTCAGATTTTGAATAAAATTACTCCTTAATGGGTTAAAATTAATTTTAAAAGTTATTACTTTGTCAAAAATCAAGTTTTAAAAACGGTTAACTTGATGACGTCATCAAGGGGTGTTTATGACGTCAAATAAATTTGTTATACAATGTAAACTAAAGTGTAAACAATTATTTGCAAGACCTGTGGTCGGAAATGGCTGTATCTTTTATACTTTTGAATCTATGGACACTTAAATACAGGCTACAATTGACTGGCAAAGCGTCTATCCCTGAATATATATGTATATCTGTATTTGACCAAAACCCATAATCATGGGTAGAGTGAACCGCTGCCAGTGTCTCTCTTTTCCAAACAAAAGAAAATGATATTAATTTGAGGAACCGTCCGCAAATGCAAATTGATACCGAGAATGAAATCGGTCGCTCGCTTTTCCCATTCAATAAGCTTTATTACAATACGTAAGCCGTGAATGAATGGGAAAAGCGAGCGACCGATTTCATTCTCGGTATCAATTTGCATTTGCGGACGGTTCCTCAAATTAATATCATTTTCTTTTGTTTGGAAAAGAGAGACACTGGCAGCGGTTCACTCTACCCATGATTATGGGTTTTGGTCAAATATCATCTCTTTTTGATTATAATGTCAGGATAATTTACACAGTCGAAACTTAATAAGGAGGTAATTTCAACGATTTCGAAATTTTACCTTTGAAAACGTTTCCTTGTGTTTAGGTAGGCATATCTGTCAATAACAGACTGAATATAGCACTTTTTACTCATTCAAGTTGGCATTAAATTCATATATAATGCCATTTTAATATCGTGGGAAAGCAGAATATATTCGAAATCACGAATGAGCAAAATTCTCACCTTTCGCACGTGCAAACTTTGAGCGGACGTTGCGTGCGCATAAAATATTGAATCACCATAAATTTTTGCATAGTGTTATTTAATATATAGTTTGATAAGCATGAAAAGTTTCAGAAGATTTCAAAAAGAACTTGGATCACAACGGGACTCCAAAGTTGGTAAAAATCGTGAAAATAACAATTTTTAGTGATTTTAGCTATTTTAAATGAATTTGGGCGTGTCCCCACGTGTGCAACTTTTCGATTTTCAACTTTAAAACTAGCCTATAACACAATTTAGACCTTTAGGAAGCAAAATTGAGCTCCACAACCCAAGGGATGGCCCAACACCAGAGAATACTAATTCACAACTTTTGTGTTTTTATAAAATTATTCTTCAAAAAAGCACTAACTTCAATAGCGAATATCTTTATGAAGGAGTAAGGTAGGAAACTTTTCCGGTAGATTTTCAGAATGCTTGAACAATTATCTAAGATGAAAATGTCCTCAGATTTTGAATAAAATTACTTTTTAATGGTGTAAAATCGATTTGAAAAGTTGTTATTTTGTCAAAAATCAAGTTTTAAAAACACTTAAATTGATGACGTAATCAAGTGATGATGATGACGATAAATTATTTTTCAATATAAAATAAACTAAAGTATAAACGATTATCTTTAAAACCTGTGGTTCGAAATGACTGTATCTTTTATACTTTTGAATCTACGGACACTTAAATGTAGGCTACAATTTACTGCAAAAGCGTCTATACATACATATATATATAGCTTCACGACAATCTGTTGTAAAACAGGGGTTCCAGAAAACCCACTTCCCGATACTCCTGAAACATGAAATTTTTTTACAGTCGATTTGGACAAGGTCTAGACGCCCTGCAAAGTTTCAGATCTCTAACTCAATTTTAACATGGTTTTTAAGGCACCTGAATATGGCGATTTTGGGTTTTTTACCTAATTTCGTATAACATGCTGGCGCGTATTTTGCGCAAATTTCTTAAAAACCTCCACATAACTATTTCTTATTCCTGTCATCTTTAACATTGAATTAGAATGTTTTGAACTTAAATATACCTGCAGAACTACTTTCGATGAGTCTTAATGCCTGGAAAACAATAAAGGGGATATAATAGTATAGGGGGTAAATAGTGTTGTGAATATAAGGGCAACGGTTATGCTTGCCAGCATTGTGATATCTGTATGTATATGTCCCGACAATCTGTCGTAAAACAGGGGTTCTAGAAAACCCATTTCCCGATGCTCCTGAAACTTTTTTTGCAGTCAATTTGGTCAACGTCTAGACGCCCTGAAAAATTTCAGATCTCTAACTCAATTTTAACATGGTTTTTAGGGCACCTGAATATGGCGATTTTGGGTTTTTTACCGAATTTCGTATAACAGTGCTGGCGAGTATTTTATACTACTTTATGCAAATTTCTTAAAAATCTGAACATAACTATTTTTTATTCCTGTCATCTTTGACATCAAATTAGAATGTTTTGAACTAAAAATAAATCTGCTGAACGACTTCCGATGAGTCTTAATGCCGCCGCCTCCGGCCGGAGTGCACGCTTCGCGTGCACAAAAGAGGCTTGTAACGTGTACCAAAGGGGGTATAATAGTAAAAGGGGTATAATAGTAAAGGGGGTATAATAGTAAAGGGGGTATAATAGTAAATGGGGAACATAGTATACCCACAATAAATGCAACGGTCGTGCTTGCCAGCACTGTGATAGTAGACAGTAGACACAAAGATCATATATTACTCCTTGATATTCAGTTGATCAATAAATCTGGATACTGGTTAGGGAGGTGAAACATATTTGTTTTGACACGTTACTGTAGAAGTTGTTATTTACCGGGATCTAGAGGACTAGTAGAGGTACTACTGAGTTGGTTGGTTCAAAATGAAACACGCTAAATTAGTTTGATTTCTTGAAAGATAAAGTCAGCAAAGGTTTTATTGGAATGTGGGAACTGAACTCAAATTCATGCGTAACTTACAAATCGGATAAATCTGACATATTTACAATCGGAGCCACGGACAGCTATGGAGGTGAAGGGAGTGTCATTTGATTAGTGTTTCTCAAAAGTGATTGGTTGGTGTTATGACTGTGAAAGGTGAAGGCTGTTATTTAAAAGGGTTGTGTGAATGAATTCGTGGGGGAGGTGCTATGAATTGTGGAAAATGCTTTGTTGAATTAGTTTGAGTTTAGCTGGAGCAGTGGAGCCGTCCGGGAATAAAACATGAAATATTAGTATTATAATAATCACTAAAGTTAAATACTGTACAACTACAATCTTCCGCTCGGAAGTTTAGCTACATTTGAAACCCTCCAATATATTTAGTAAAATTTATTAGGATTATAAAAGAACAAGCTTTATAATTTAAAAATTTTGAATGAAATTGAAATAAACTAAGTTAGACGATAAATACGTGTCCAAATTGGGTCTCAAAGCATGTAATATAAAGACATAAAAGCGTGAATATAGAAACATGCAAAACCACAACAAACCATAAAACTTGCTAAAAACGGGTAGAATATAATTGAACAACATTTTACACCATTTTCTAGTTTTCGCCTCTCGGCCTCTTGTATCGTAGTTAAACATTCGATTTAGACTCGTCTTTCGTTTCACTTACTGTTCGTTAACACTTAGTTAATCCCGTGTTTAAAATAAACGTGTCAAAAGCGTGTAAAATGTACAAACTTCATTTTACACTGTTAACTGGTATTCGTTTTTCGTATTATAAGTTAACGTTATAAATATCATTCGATTCGTCTTTCGTTTCGTTTAATATTCGTTATCTTTATTAAAAACTTTTACGCTTAGTTAATCACGTGATTTGACTCACTGATCATCCAGGGGGCATTATGCGCCCTTTTAGATTACAAAGTTTATACACAATTTTAATGTTTAGGTAAACGAATAAGACTTTCGTGACTTTTCGTTTTAAACTTAAAGGAAAACTTCTTAGTAAATAATTTAAAGGATCATTTAAAATTTTAGTTGTCCATTTAGGTTGGAAGTTGTTTTAGCGAAGAGCGAGTGCGATTAGTAAAATGTCTCGTCGCCCATGATGAGGTTAAGAAATGTTACGGTTATATCAGAGGTCGTACAAAGTATATAGTTGATAGGAGACTATTATAGACTTATAGACTATAGAGGTACTGTGGGTACGGGAGCCTTCTCAACTCTTTAGCCAGGTCTTTATCCTGATTTCCCGGTTCCGACGTTTGTCATAGTTATTTAGTGTATACAATATTGCTTCTAGGTCTTAAGTGATAAAGCCTAAGCGTGTTGTGCTCGCTTGTTTCATCATCTTGCTGAGTCGTACTACTAATTAAAACTAATTGGTATTGAGATTGGAGGGGGCAGGGTAGGAGTACCAAACATCACCTGTATCGTTCACATCTGGCATTTCGCCCCTTTTATCAGGTGGGTCGGATACCCTTACCCCTTAGGTTAGTCGGAATGTGTTTAAGAGTATCGAAATGGACTACCATTTGTTTAGTAATGTAATGGAAGTGTTCTACTAAATAATTCCGTTGAGATAAGACTTTCTTAGTGCACCATGGACCACTGTAGCAGTTTCTGAATTTACGGTAATGTTTGATGGAAGGATATAAAGGTTTCCGGACCAAGACCTTGTCACCTTCTTTGTATGCTATGTGGTACCTTTTCTTTTTATCGTATATATACTGTACATTACGGTGATTCTTGGTGACTTAGAATGGTCAATGTTGGAAGCTGATTAGTTAATCGCTGTCAACTTCAAGTGCTAGAAGAAGTATGGTCCACCAGTATTCTAATCCATTGGTTTTATAAGACCCAATGCCAATGAAATTGGACTGTTTTTCAGGTATTTTCTAATTGAAATCCTTGATTAGAGACAATTCCACCAGTGACCAGAATGTTATGTTTGCACATTTTCACTAGATGACCACATCCCTGCTGTTAATTAGCCACATTTACTCCGAAAACTATTAATTAGATAGTGCTTATAATAAAAGGTTTGCATTTCCTCGTTACTTTCGAAGTTGTTTTTAGCGGTATGTTGTTTTCAGATTCATCATGCTAGACATTAGCTCATAAAATATGAGAGTGGGCCACATTCACACGGATCGTAGTCGGGAACGCAGAGTCAACTCAGGTTGAGATTTTGTACTTTATACGGCTGATATCGTATGTATTATTCTCTGATAATGATTTTGTCTTTTTTCGAATGAAACTTGATTGATAGTTGAGGCAAAATTCAAATCATAAACCTGCGTTCCTTCAGGCAAATCGGACGATTCTTACCACAAAATAAAAACTCCGTCTAGAGATGAGACGGCTCCATCAGATGACGCTACAGATAATGTCTGGAAACCTTCACAAAGTCTAAATCTTGAATCCGAGTACATAAACAGCATATTATAAAATACTATATCAAATACTGCCGGAAACTCGGCTTGAAGATCTTTATCGTATGAATACATTGTTCGATTCCCTACTAAAAAATAGTTACATGCTGTCCTGACGTTATAACTTACCGAATTCCATTTCAGACGGCCGAAAGAACTGAATGAAATAAACAAAATAAAAAAGAAAGACGAGGAAAAGAAGATGAACAAAGATCATGTTTCACGCAGAAAGAGGCAGTCTCAGTTATCTGGAGACTTAACAAAGACAACACCTGCACTTTCTTATTATCCTTCACCATCACTCGGTGATCTGCGACTTACCTCCAAAAGATACCACAGCACACATCGAATTCAGAAAACAACTTCTAACACCATGGAAAAAAATAAACTAGAACTTTCTTCCGATCAGAAGACTGGAGACACCTCGTTAACAGTGGTAAAAAGGAGCATATCAATAACACTGCCCAACCAACTGAACCACAAGTTGAGAAAACGAGTTCACACAACAAACTGCACGGGAGATAGTAAGCAAGCAGACACCGAGTTCAGAGTCAGGTCCTCTAGACCTAGCAACAGTCGACATGCAGAGGGCAGGGGTAGAAAATATAGTGATTTAGATCAACCTAGTTATTCCATTTCTAAAGAGTCAGGCCAAAAAGACCTATCTCAAAGGAAGAAGCATTACTCCTCCTTTCACCATTCAGAACTACTGAACTCGGACCACCAGCCCGATATTAGAGGATTAGTTTACCACTATAACGAGGTGGAAAGAAAGAACAGGTCCAGAAGAGACAAACACAAATCCCATGTAGAACTGCCAGGGATATCAGACCTAGCTAGACGTCACCAGGATCTCCAGGCTAACAAGCTACTTCGCATCAAGCAGGATGCAGAGTGTCAGGAGGCCAAGGAGAGGGTTGAAAGGAGAAGAAGGAGAAGTGCCATGACAGGAGCTGAGCGGAGGGCTGGTAGTATTTCTGACATTTCTCTTGTCAAGACTCGAGATAAAAGGTGACCCTTCTGTTTAATATATAATGGTTATTAAGCATATTGCTTGAAATGAGTTTGCGAGAATATAATGAATTTGTTTTTAACAGCTGATTATTATCAAACCTGTATCTCAGAACCCGAGATAAGGACTCAACAAGGTGTTTAGAGTTGGAGGATAGTCTTGCTAAACTGAGGATAGACTCGGTTCATAACAGTGGGCACCCTGAAAATTACTGTGTACCCACTACTGCTGGTCCGTCACCACCCAGAGAATCTGCTGTTACAGTAAACCTTTCTCAGAGCGACTCTGGTATGTTTGATCTACAACATGATAAGTTTTAGTTAAGTTGTTTGTTCTAGCTGTGCTTGCCAGTTTGCTTGTTATATCTGTCGAAGTATTGTTGAACAAACTTTGTTATCTTCAGAAGCAAATGTGATGACTAAGGATATCGAAGAAGAAATAAGAATCCAAAGAAAACCACAAAACCGATCATCAGGCGTGAGGCTCGTACATCGGTCTAAAACTGACGACCACACCCACGAAGACTCCAGAGATAACAGAAATAATAGAAATAAAAAAGATAACAAAGATAACAGAAATAGCAGAAATAACGGAGATAACAGACACCAATCTACATCAAGATCTCACGTAATAGAATGTAGGAAAGTAGAAAGAGATGAGGCTTCCAAGCATACGCGAAGTTCAGTTCAAAAGATAGAGTTAGTTCCGAGAAAGAATCCGGACAGGGGTTCAGCCTTTGCACCTCGATACAACACCCGACAGAGATACCATACATCAGAAGCTAATTTAGGTGCAGAGGAGTCATTCAGTAAATCATCACCAACTTCAGTGAAAACTGTAAGACCAATATCTACTAGACCCATTAAACCAAGTACAGCTCCTAAAGAACCTCTCAGGTTTAGACAAACTTCACGACTCTCACTGGGACTGGAACCTTATCTTAAAGAAGGTTCGGACAAAAGCTCAGTAGAAAACCATAATTTCGAATGTAACGAAATCGAGATATTAGCCTATAAGGATAAAATACTTGAGACCAAATTGGACATGACGAAACCTGAAACAAATCTTGATACAAAGCTGGAAACAAAACCTGGCACAAAACAAGATAAAGAAGCTGATTCAGCAAACGGAAACATCACTGATGATGAGGCAGACACTCAAAATGACAAGTTGGTGAAAATTTTGAAAAGGATAGACACTCAGACTTTGAAACGAAGACTGAGCCTGGATAAGCTTGATGAACTTGATACCGATGATGAGGTGAGCCGTTAAACTTAGTAACAGTACTTGTAAAATAAGCCTTTTTCAAACGAAGCTGCTTTAACCCATTAGAATGATTAATAAAATGAAGATTCCATCAACCTCAGGTTGAAAACCTAATTTGAAGTTGTGCTGGAAACGCTTGTTTATTTTTTAATAATAAGACATTTTCTCTTTTAGTCGAGCTTGGATCGCATGTTAAACCAGATATCAGCTTTCGTACAAAGCAAATTCTTGAGAAAACGAGCTAAAACCGACGGAGGTCGCAACATCTTACGATTTGGCACGAGTACAGTCCATCTATACGATCCAACCGTAAGTTTAATCTTCCATGGCTAATATTCATTGGTCATGAACAATCTGAAGACCATACTTAAACCTGAACTTAATCACGATGCGTGTTAATTTTAGTTTTTACTGGTTGCTCGATCGAATGAGACTCACGTGATACATATTTTAGTGGTTTTTGAACGAGTATTGTTTAGCCTTATAAAATAAAAAGCTTATAATAATAGTTTCTTTAAGTTTAAGTTTGCTTGATAGTTGAATAAATACGCTTCTTAAGTACGCTTCGATTGACCACCAAGAAATTCATGATTTGAGCTAATAAAAGCTCCTTTGTTTGTGGTTTAGATAATATACTTACTGTTGCTTATATCTATAGGTCGCTCTACAGCCTTTTACTGGATCTAAAAGGCAAGCTTTTACACCACCCAGTATACTGAAGAAAAAGCAGAAAACTGAAGCCTCTTAACTGGTTCAGAATCGCGAGATGTCCACGAGATTGTTGAAATATCTAACACAGACTTCTCAAAAGTTGCCAGTCTCGTACGATCGAGTTATAAAATTAATCCTTTAACCTTGTGTGTAAAACTGGCTTGAGTTTGACGAATTGAAATCTACGTGTTACTTACGTGCTGAGATAATTAAATACAATTCAGTATTACTGTCGCCTATTTTAACAGTACGTCTCAATATCAGTTATTTACAATAGTAACGTACCTAACACTATTAGACACCGCGACTGTTATTGTCTCTCCTTTGTTGATTTTTCATCAAGTTTTTTTCTCAAGCGATATTTTGAAAACATCTTACAGTAATTACTGTATCAATATGTATCTATATTCTATATGTGTTTTGAATAAACGCTATCATAGTTATACATTCCAATATTTAGAATTGTTTGTAATACGAATTCCTCCCTGTATGGTCAATGCATCTTTCGAGCGGTCTTTGCTTCTGGCAATTTCATCTATGTACGTGCTTGCTTGATGCAACTTTTCCTTGTCTCGGTTTGATTACAAATTTAAGTGGTTCTGCTTGCCTGAAATTGCTTTCTTCCTACAGTATCGACTAAAAAATAAAACAGTTTTAAAACGCAAAGAGAATTGGAAAACAACAAATAAAATTTTGATTTTGTACACTTTTTACTGCTACGCTCTGATATAAGAGTTTAAGTTATGCTGTCGTTAAATACGTTTTAATTTTCCATATCGGCGTGCTTTCTGGTAAACAAACATTTTTAATTGACATTCTAATATTCAATATCAGTAATTAGTTCTGTATCTAATTACATTAATTGCACAATTTCGTATGTTTATTTATTAAGTTATTAAATCAGAAAACGCAAGGATAATTTTGAAAGAAATTGTAAGATTGTATTTTGGTCATCCATCAAAATAAAACAAAATAACGATACCTTACAAGACATATCTATAACGTACGAAATGTGGCGGTTTTCCGAAAATTTCGCCATATTTTCGGACCGCCAAAATTTCGGTCGTCGTAATAGAATCCGTCGCATTATCTTTTAGCTTATTTCAATGACTGTGCCTTCACTGCTTTATTTTGTTTCTAAAAAGTAATATCAAGTAAAATAAATAAATAAATTCTGGCATCTTGGGACAAATTATTACTACACCAATGACGAATTGAATGTCAAGCAATACAGTTTAAATCTGCATTAAAATACATGTATGTGCTAACATGAAAGTCTTACAGTCTTAATACAGACTAAGTTTGAACATGATTTTACCGAATTTCAGAAATTTCCTTACTGCTTACTGTCACAAAAAATGATGAAAAATACCCTTATTTTCTGTGACGTCCGAAATTTGACGGTTTTTGTTCAATTTCGCCATATTTTCGGACCGCCAAAATTTCGGTCGTCGCAAATTAGGCCGCCATAAATATGTCTTGTAAGGTATATAGAAATCCTACAGTGCACCGATTTAGAATGGGCGGTTGAGATCACTATTAATTAGTAGAGGCATCAGAGGATCTGCTCGATAATATACGCTAGAAACTCTGGAGCATAATTTACTAGACATATTTTTAAAATATTATTATTTTTAGAATCTTTTAAAAGTGGTCTTGCACATATATTATAATTATTTTTATGAATATTTTGATTGGCTGGCGGTACTGAAAAGTTTTTTTCTCAAGCGATATTTTGAAAACATCTTACAGTAATTAACAAATTTATAGCTGGTTCCATCCTCCTTTACTTTCGTCAGAAATTAACAAGCTCCGGCGAGCTGGGCGGAGTAACTCGGAAGATTTAACAGCGAAAAAAACAGCTGTATCAATATGCATCTATATTCTATATGTGTTTTGAGTAAACGCTATCATAGTTATACATTCCAATATTTAGAATTGTTTGTAATACGAATTCCTCCCTGTATGGTCAATGCATCTTTCGAGCGGTCTTTGCTTCTGGCAATTTCATCTATGTACGTGCTTGCTTGATGCAACTTTTCCTTGTCTTGGTTTGATTACAAATTTAAGTGGTTCTGCTTGCCTGAAATTGCTTTCTTCTTACAGTATCGACTAAAAAATGAAACAGTTTTAAAACGCAAAGAGAATTGGAAAACAACAAATAAAATTGTGATTTTGTACACTTTTTACTGCTACGCTCTGATATAAGAGTTTAAGTTATGCTGTCGTTGAATACGTTTTAATTTTCCATATCGGCGCGGCGTGCTTTCTGGTAAACAATAATTTTTAATTGACATTCTAATATTCAATATCAGTAATTAGTTCTGTATCTAATTACATTAATTGCACAATTTCGTATGTTAATTATTTATTAAGTTATTAAATCAGATTTAATGAAACGCAAGGATAATTTTGAAAGAAATTGTAAGATTGTATTTTGGTCATTCATCAAAATAAAACAAAATAACGATATATAGAAATCCTACAGTGCACCGATTTAGAATGGGCGGTTAAGATCACTATTAATTAGTAGAGGCATCAGAGGATTTGCTTGATAATATACGCTAGAAACTCTGGAGCATAATTTACTAGACATATTTTTAAAATATTATTATTTTTAGAATCTTTTAAAAGTGGTCTTGCACATAGATTATAATTATTTTTATGAATATTTTGATTGGCTGGCGGTACTGAGAATCTTTATTTAAACCACTATTTCTAAATCGGTACGACCATAATCCCACATTATGGTAAAATAACACTGAATACAAGAATTCAATGTTCATTCAGCAGAAATACCAATAACCATTCATCTTAAACCATGTTACTCCGACTCGTATGCCGTTGAATTTAAAAGAAATTAAACATAAACTTGTCGTGTATCAGCAGGAGTGTGATCGTAAAGTGGTTTTGTTAAAAATGGCCGCCCAAAGTCTGCCTGCGAATACGTGGTTTCCGGTTTCAAATCCTTATTTAAAATATTGAAAAATAGTCACTTAATTTATGTTTGGTCAGGTTGCATGACTCGGGGGTTATCACATTCGATCTATTTCGCAAGGTTATTTCTTAGATTAATCTAGGAGTTGTTATCCAGAGACACTTGTTTATTCCTTGAAAGATATCCAACTCAAAGAAGCCACATCTTCGATCCTGAACGTAAACAGTACGTCAAACCATGAGAGTCCTCAGTCACGTTTGGCATTTTTGGAATTTGTGAATAACCGATTGTTTTATCATGCAATCATGGATGATGGATGTTGTAATTATGTGACTAGAAGAAATAAAGTCAATTATGATAAGCAGAACATCGTGTACCCTACTAACGAGCTGTTTTTAATAAACTTTGTCTCGGTTTGCTTGACGACTTATCAGTTTTCTGTGTTTGTGGGAGTTTCAGTTAATTTATTGATGTTGAACTTGATTGATAGTATGCAAACAAACCCTTTTAAAGCGTGCTTTTGATCTATTTACACGCCGACTCAGAGTTAATATACTCAAGTTAATGATCCGCTGTAGCTCTGAAGTGGCAATCCTTAATCTTAATCATCATTTCTATTGACCAGAAATGGATTACTCCAAGCCTACTCGACCTGCTATTAAGCCCACAGAATATGATGCTACAAAAGCCGCCTACCAGAGAAACATCAAAATGGCTACCATTGGATATGACAAGTGAGTTTGAGTTAGAAGATGTTAGGGCTCAATTGACCTTATATGGTAGAGATCACTCAAAATTGTGGTATAACACATCACAGTGCACTTGATTACGAAAAATCGTCAGGTTAAAACAAAAGCAAGCAGAACTTCTGGCAGTTCAAGCAAGGAATAAAGCAAAGAGGGTGCAGGTAAAAGTAAAGGTAACAGCTCCAGTGGATCCTGCCAAACTAGTAGAAAAGGATACGAGTTTAAGACCGCGAATGAACTGGAATAAAGTGGCTATGGCTATTTTTTCGTAAGAGCACGGCACATGCACTGTTTAAAGCTGTGGATTTTGGATTTGCTTGAAATGCATTTTATAGCACTATTACTAATTGTAACAGTGGTGTGAGTTGTGAAGCAGTTACTGTACTGGTGCACAGTGCACTGTACTGGTGCACAGTGTACTGTACTGGTGCACAGTGTACTGTACTGGTGCACAGTGCACTGTACTGGTGCACAGTTACTGTACTGGTGCACAGTGCACTGTACTGGTGCACAGTGTACTGTACTGGTGCACAGTGTACTGTACTGGTGCATAGTGTACTGTACTGGTGCACAGTTACTGTACTGGTGCACAGTGTACTGTACTGGTGCACAGTTACTGTACTGGTCCACAGTGCATTGTACTGATGTACAGTTACTGTACTGGTGCACAGTGTACTGTACTGGTGCACAGTTACTGTACTGGTGCACAGTGCATTGTACTGGTGCACAGTTACTGTACTGGTGCACAGTTACTGTACTGGTGCACAGTGCACTGTACTGGTGCACAGTTAATGTACTGGTGCACAGTTACTGTACTGGTGCACAGTTAATGTACTGGTGCACAGTTAATGTACTGGTGCACAGTTAATGTACTGGTGCACAGTGCACTGTACTGGTATACAGTTAATGTACTGGTGCACAGTGCACTGTACTGGTGCACAGTTACTGTACTGGTGCACAGTTACTGTACTGGTGCACAGTTAATGTACTGGTGCACAGTTACTGTACTGGTGCACAGTGCACTGTACTGGTGCACAGTTAATGTACTGGTGCACAGTTACTGTACTGGTGCATAGTTACTGTACTGGTGCACAGTTACTGTACTGGTGCACAGTTACTGTACTGGTGCACAGTTACTGTACTGGTGCACAGTTAATGTACTGGTGCACAGTTACTGTACTGATGCACAGTTACTGTACTGGTGTACAGTGCACTGTACTGGTGCACAGTTACTGTACTGGTGTACAGTGCACTGTACTGATGCACAGTTACTGTACTGGTGCAAAGTTAATGTACTGGTGCACAGTTAATGTACTGGTGCACAGTTACTGTACTGGTGCACAGTGCACTGTACTGGTGCACAGTTACTGTATTGGTGTACAGTGCACTGTACTGGTGCACAGTTAATGTACTGGTGCACAGTTAATGTATTGGTGCACAGTAATGGTGCAAAGTGCACTGTACTGGTGCACAGTGTACTGTACTGGTACACAGTGTACTGTACTGGTACACAGTGTACTGTACTGGTGCATAGTTACTGTACTGGTGCACAGTGTACTGTACTGGTGCACAGTTACTGTACTGGTGCACAGTAATGGTGCACAGTGCACTGTACTGGTGCAAAGTTACTGTACTGGTGCACAGTGCACTATTTTAGTGTTGAGTGTTCCATGAATTGGGATAATACAATATATTCAAAAGAAATGTCACCCTACAATTACTGTTCCTGTTCCTATGACTATGGTGTTTAGCTCTAAAAGCGATGAGTTTATGAGTGAGATTCTTATTTATTTTGTGGTCCGTTCTTTTAGTTAATAATTACCACTTTTTCAGCAAGAAAGAAGGCGACCAGTTAGCTCCTGTAGAAGATCCGGTAAGATGATAATATCCAAATGTAGAGCAGCAATAATATGTCACTTGCAGTAACGCGCGCCCGCCATATGTCACTTGTTTGACAAGTTTGCGGGTTCGCCGCTGAACGCTACATAAAGCGATAATATCAGCTTCAATTAGTATCTACCATATTGCAAAATGGCAGTCCATGAGTCCATTTCAATTCTGGACTCAAATATTTTGTTTATTTAAATTAAAGAGCTCACGTTTTAAGGGAAAAGGGAGGCGTGGTAGTGACGGTTCCCGGAGAGGTAGCCGAGATAGCATGGGTTCTCACGATGCAGCGGATAAGAAACTTGCCGAGAAGCGTGTATCTCCAAAACTATTCGATCTTGTCACCAGATTATCACAAAGAAGGGAATCTGTGGCACGCATTTCATCAAAGCCGAAGAAGAGATCTGAAAAAGTAGAGCAATCTTTACAGTACGGCCTGCATCGCAGAGGTATGCTTAAACGTTTGAATATTTTCCACACATACCAATTTACAGTGCATGCTTGTGGATATTTTTAAATAGTCGTTCTCGTTAACAAGATAATGAAATCATTTCAGAGATGGCAGCTTCAGTAGATGACATCCACACCGTCAAAGACTGTCGATACTTGAGATTGAGATCTTCGGAACAAGGACTTGAAAAAAGTCCTTTTGATATCAAGGAGATATTCGACAAGAAGGAGTAAAGTTACGAGATATGGGATATCCCTAAGGATGTTTGGATATCTATATGACGACGCCTCTTCTTAGCTTACTGAAATTCGATAACTGTATTTAGTTTGATTTAAAACCTTGTGCCCAGTGAGACCGAGGATAAAAAATAGGGTGAGAGATAGGGTTGGGAATAAGATTAAGGTTAAGGTAAGATTAAGAGTTTAGGTTTGGAGTTAAAGGGAGTGGGTTGTTAGATCAGTTGGGGTCTGAAGTCACTGGGACACGAGATTCTGAGGTATAAAGACGACATGAATTGTTACGCTCGGGTTAAAAAATATATTATTAAATAAATTCAGCCACTGACCGACTGAACTCAAGTATTACATTTAAATTTTTGTAAATCTCTAGAACGTTAATTGCTTATTAAGTTTTCAAGATATTTTCCATGTATTTGTACCTTTAAGCAGCTTTAGCGATGGGCCGAAAGTTCTTGTTGTTCATTTTATTTATAAATCTTACTGTAAGGTAAATGGAGAATTTTACTTTTATGATGCAGCAAAAATAAAACAAAATCTGTAAATCATGTGTATTAAACAATAAATATACAGGGTGCTTAATTAAGTTCCAGGGACCTGTTCTAGTTACAACATAGTATATATGTATATTCATTTGCAATTTATGTCCGTCTCCTTTCTGCTATGTTGGACGTACCGTTAGGACTCTTTATGAAAAATGTAACCGAACATAAAGCTAACTATGATAAATTATTGAAAGACCTTTCCTTAAAACTAAGTGATGATTTTTTTATCTGATGATAATGACACTTATAGTTTAGCAGCTCACCTTATAGACTCACATAACCTTTCTAAATCTAATAGATCTGATTTTGATGCTTCTTATAATGTTTTTATCTTTAAGAATTCTTATCTTACATTGTATGACCCGCCACGCACAAGTGCGCGGCTCCCCTGTATCGTAGAAACGCTACAGTGCAGTGAAACGACAATGGGGGTCACGACGTGATACAAAAGAATTCTAGCCCTAGTAATTTAGAAGTTAACGAACATCTTTTTATATAATCTTATACAAAAACTCAAAACTTTGAAACCGTATGGTATTAATTCGTGTAATCCTTTTGGTATGCCACTTTTATTTGAAAATAAAACTTTTGATAATGGCCCTTAAATCACAGTGCTGGCAAGCACGAGCGATGTCTTTATTGGGGGTATACTATGTACTCCCTTTACTATTGTACCCCCTTTACAATTATACCCCCTTTACTGTTATAACCCCTTTGGTACTCGTCGGAAGCCTCTTTCGTGCACGCGAAGCGTGCACTCCGGCCGGAGGCGGCGGCCGAAGGCCGCCGCCTCCGGCAGGAGTTTTTCAGGCATTTTTCAGGCAAGACTCATCGGAAGTCGTTCAGCAGATTTATTTTTAGTTCAAAACATTCTTATTTGATGTCAAAGATGACAGGAATAAAAAATAGTTATGTTGAGATTTTTAAGAAATTTGCATAAAATACTCGCCAGCACTGTTATACGAAATTCGGTAAAAAACCCAAAATCGCCATATTCAGGTGCCTTAAAAACCATGTTAAAATTGAGTTAGAGATCTGAAATTTTTCAGGGCGTCTAGACGTTGACCAAATCGACTGCAAAAAAAGTTTCAGGTTTCAGGAGCATCGGGAAATCGGTTTTCTAGAACCCCTGTTTTACGATAGATTGTCGTGATATATACAGATATACATACATATTCAGGGATAGACGCTTTGTCAGTCAATTGTAGCCTGTATTTAGGTGTCCATAGATTCAAAAGTATAACAGATACAGCCATTTCCGACCACAGGTCTTGCAAATAATTGTTTATACTTTAGTTTAAATTGTATAAAAAAATTATTTGACGTCATAGACACCCCTTGATGACGTCATCAAGTTAACCGTTTTTAAAACTTGATTTTTTACATCAACTGTCTTTTTCTTTAAAAAGGCATAAGATGTATAGAAATGGAAGGAATTGAGAATGGGTATAGTAGGTAGCTAAGTTTTTCGTGGTGTCACAAAGCAAAACATGCATAACCCTCCGCATACGTTATTTTAATGCATATTCTCCGCGCGCAGAGCAGTTATGGTGTAGTCGCCATGGTTACCCTCCGCATACGTTTGCACGATTTGACGATTGATCGAATTACACTTTAGATTGCGCGCGGCGCCAATTGATGAATTGTTTGTTTGTTTGTTTGTTTATAGAACCCGTCCCCAATCTCGTATCGGAAAATGACTAAACTCAGGTCTGAGTGTGAATACGGGTGGTACCTGCAAGAGTGTTCATTAAGCATTTAGAGTTCTGTAAAACTGCAGTTACAATTGTGCTAGAGTATTTTTAGTTTATACGATTGGTATCAGATATATATCCCTACATGCTTCCAAAATTTGTAAAGCCGTAGTACATACATATCACATTACACCGGAGCCTACACAGTGCAATCTCCTCCAGTCGATCTGCGCCGCGTATGTTTATATAAGCGCGCGGCGCAGACTGGAGGAAACCACACTCTGCAAGTTCGATCCAGTGCAATGCTACATGTACGTACTACGGCTTCATCTCCAACTTTCTGCACAATGTACTGGAATGTTTTGAAGGAAAAGAAAGAACCAAAAAAAAAGATATATATAAATAAAATCAGCGATTTAATGTTAGCCTTAGGAGGGTAACTTTAATTGAAATTCCCTGGTTTCTAAAATCATCTTTAAAAAAAAAAAAATAATAAAGTATGTAACGTCGATACCAAACCGATTATTGAGCGATAATAACTGAATAGTGGATTCCTGGGTTGCAGAGTCATTCAGATGTTTCAGTCTTCGAATGTGGTTCTTTGTTCAGTTTTGTCCATGTTTCCTCGTGTTATGTTCAAAGTTTTAGGTGCCATGTTGTCCTGTGATGATAATTTCTAAAGCGTGTTATTTATGGGCTAACGTGTTTTAGCGAGTGTAGAGTAGCGTAGCTTGAAGATATTTATTTTGATTTTTATTTTTATTTGATTTTTTTTAAATGAAGAAGAAGTACATTGAGTAAAAGAAGTGTATGATGGAATATTAATTGCAATGTATCATAAGTGAATATAAGTAATGTATCTTGAGTGAAGTGAAAAAATCCTAAATTGTAAAAACGGAAGGCTACAGGATAATGTAGTTACGGTATGAAAAATATTTAATCGGACCCTCAAGAATTAGCAATAGAAATAATTGTATAGTAATGTAAATCATTGTACGTATTGTCTAAGGAAAATTTCGCTTTTTTTAATGAATGATAATAATTTAAAGGATTTTATTTTGAAAAGGTCATTTATTTTAAGAACTGGAAAACCAAAGGTAGCGCTTCGTAAGGTGAATAAAAATGGGCAATTACAAAGAAAATGGACATTGTCTTCTGGTTCTAGATGGCATCGAGGACAGATATCTGTAGGTTTCTTTTTTATTTTAAACAAAAATGAGTATAGAGGTGCTCTGTTAGAAAGTATGTTGGTAAGTTTATGAAGGTCCGCTGTTGTCATTTCTGTGATGGTGGATAATGATTCTTTCTTATGGAGGGAGACAACTAGCTTATGAAGCTTATTAGTGGAGGGTGATGCTTCTAAAGATGATTTGCTTTGCGCGAAAGACCAACTTTTGAGTTTGGCTTTGAAGCTGGAGTACGGAACGGGGGTAACCTGTCCCACACTATCAAGACTGGTGGCTTCTTTTGCCAGGCTGTCCGCGAGTTCGTTTCCCGTTACCCCTGTGTGGCCTCTTACCCAGTGAAGCGTTATCTTTGATTTCAAACCTAGGGAGTTCAAGGCTTTTATGGTGTCTATTGTCATAGTTGAAGTGGGATAATGGTTTGACAGCGCATGGAGAGAGCTCATGCTGTCGCTGAAGAACTGAATGTTCCGATTGATAAAGTCCGGGTTATCAAGCAGGTTAAGTGTAGCTGCACAGATTGCAAACATTTCGGCTTGGAATACCGTTGAATGGTCTGATATCCGGATCTTTCCACAGTTGGGCTCTGCCGGATTTTGACAGTGGAAGATGGCCCAGCCGGATCCAGTTTTACCCTCTGAAGTTTTTGATCCGTCCGTAAAAACTAGGGAGCAGAAGGGTAGGTCGTAGAAATCCGACATGTCGATATTGGGTGAGGTATCGACGGTGAATTGCCTGTCTATATTATAGAATGGTTTAATGGTTCTGTCCACCGATTCAAATGGTAGGTTTTGGTCAAAGATATTCTGCTGAAGGTCCTTTCCAAACTTAGAGTGGGGAGTGAATTTGCCTTTGGGTGGTAAAGTTTCTATATAAGGGCTTGATGACTGTATCCGGTTTAAAGTCAAGAAAGCCGTTCTTTTTACGCTAAGGTTAACCGGTTCAATATTTGCTATAGAAGTTGTGCTAGTGAGTGGCGAACACTTAGATGTTCCTGTTATAGATCTGGCTGCCGTGTTGAAGACTTTAGTTAACTTGTTATTCATGCTCTTGTTCTGCATGGCAGAATTGGCCCAGAAGAGACTTCCATAAGTGATCGTTGGCCTTGTCACGCATTTATATATCCATCTGAGGGTTGTTGGGTTAAGGCCCCAATTCCTTGCCGTAGTTTTCTTGATCGCTGCTTGTTGGATGTTGGCCGCAGTTATCTTTTTTTCCAAGTGGGTAATCCACGACAGTTTGGAGTCTAGGTGCACTCCTAGGTATTTAACCGTAGTTGTAACTGGAAGGGGGGTCCCCTGGTACAGTATTGGTTGGTCCAAAGATACATTATGACGGTGCGTGAATATTACGACCTTTGACTTTTGTGTATTTAATTGGAGACCCGCTTCCGTACACCAAGTTTCAATTGTCCGTACAACTGATTGCGCCCTTTGTCTGATGTCAGTTATCTCTGTGCCGGATATAAGGGATGCAATGTCGTCAGCGAATGCCTGAATAAATTCCTCAATACTAATCCTCTTCAGTAGGAGGTCGACTACTAAGTTCCAAAGAGTTGGGCCTAGACGTCCTCCTTGAGCAAAACCTTTAAGTAGCAGTCTTATAATGATCGCCTTGCCAAGTGTATACGTCACTCTCCGGTTGGAAAGGAGGTACTTTATTAGGTTGTAAACTGATTTTGATACCGGAGAGTTCCGTAGCACTTTGAGGATGTACTCTGTTGAAACGTTGTCGAATGCTCCAGATATGTCTATGAAGATACCCACAGTAATCCCCCTGTCTACTAAGGACTGTTCGATCTTATGTACCAGACTGCTAATCGCGTGGTCACATGATTTCCCTCTCCTAAACCCATATTGACTATGGTGAAGGTAGGATTCCAGGTCCAGATCAATTTCAAGATGCCATATGATTAATCGTTCCAGGCATTTTAGTATACAAGGAGAAAGGTTGATAGTGCGGTAAGATTTGGGACTTACATGTTCTTTTATACCAGGTTTAGGAATGAAAATTCCCGAGGATGATAGCCAGATATCTGGGATGGCCCCCAGAAGAAAGCAGTCCATGAAGATATATTTTACAGGCACTTCTAGCATATCCCAACAGTGCTCAAGAATTTTGTAGGATATGTCATCTGGTCCTGGGGCTGACTTCGTGTTTGTGTTCTTCATTAGTTCTTTGATACGAGAAGTGGAACATATTTGTTCCACCTCCCTAACAAGAGCGATATATTCTTCGAAGTCGATTGGTAATCCTACATAATCGCTCCTAGGGATGTCTTCAGAATCCTTGAAGGATGTGCCGGGTGCGAGTGTATCGACCATAAACTTTAGTGCATCAC